AACCCCACCAGGCGAAAGAAAGAGAGACGTGGCGAGACTGTCCACAAGTATGAGGGCCACGATAAAATCATCGAATGGTCGACCATCCCCTTCAATGCAGATGACGTATTGACACAAGTGTCTGAACGCGCCCAGAGGCCCCAGGACCTCGTACACAGGGGCGCCTTGACCTGTTGCAGCGGGAAAAGGATCCGCGCCACCCATGAGTATTGTCTGATTGTACCCAGATCTGGAGTACTTGCTGAGCCAGGCCGCCATCACCACTAGGGAAAAAAGGGCCAAATAGCACGTGTTCAAACGTTTACAAAGTTTACGGGTGTGTGTTATTTTGTGTTCTTAGCGTGCAGAACTTTGATGGAATGTGTTTTGTGTGTGTTCGAAAAAGTGTTATTTGGCCCTTTTTTGCTAGTGCACATTACAGCAAAAACGCCGGAAAATGTGACCGCACGATCACGGTTCGCCATGCACTTCGTCAGTATGCTTTAGCGGCACGCAAGAAGTGCGCCTCATCTGCTGCACCGAGTAGCCAACGCGATGATGGAGATTTCATCCTGCATGGGAAAACGCAATTGAGTATATTTTCGAACCGCGTACGGTATTTATGGCGTATTTACGCGGTATTACATGCAAGAGTGGCTTTGGCGCTTTCATGCGTTACAACGCAGAAGCGAAACTGGTGTCATTACGTAAGAAACAAATCTGCCACCGGGCACCTCTACCCGCCCCCTGAGATTCACCGTCACCATCGTCTCTCTGAAAACTCTGAGTTCGGTTCTGAACGAGAATCCCGTCCACTTTGCATTTGACTTTTTAAATGCGAAAATCAGAAGTGCATTGGTGGGTGCTTCATCATTCATGCCGCATGATTCGCGCAGTTGGAATGTCGCTTTGAACATCAATAATTTCCTGACCAGTCATTCGTGGCGAATGAGCTCCCATCATATGGTAAGAGACTGTTCATGCTGCGGCGAGAGCCCCTCTCAGCATTCCTATGTTGAAGTGCTGCAAGAATAGGAACCCAACAGATGTTGAGCATTTGCATAGTTGTCCACCCCAAAGATGAGCGATGGCATTTGGGAGAACCAGAACACATCAGTTTTGCCCAAAGATTGCAGTTTATTGCCAAAATGGTAACATATGATAACATGTCTCCCGATATTCCTGGAACTGTAATGCATCGACGATCCCCGATCTGCATACGGAGAGCGCAATCGTATATTTTCTAAGGCAGAATCAATATCATACCTGCACCGCTGGTCGAAGTATCCTCGCTCTTTGGGCCTCCTTTTGCCGCATACTTTTCGCATGATTCTTCCCTGCAAACATTTTTGCACAATTAAATCCCAAATCGATACAACAGTGCTGTGTCTATCACTCCGTCGATGATATGGTGCAACAACACAAGGCAAGAGCGAAGCAGTCAGATTTTGTACTCATAATACATTGTGACTGAGGAAAGAATTCCGAAATAAATACTGTAAATTCAGTTGCATTTCTATGTGTGCATTGACAATTAGAGCATGTGCTACTATTGTTATGCATTGCGCGGTGCGGCAGCAAGATCGTGTCATCATGATACATAGTTTTCTTGGGATGGGAAATCTCAGTACGGACGAACCGCAGATGCAACGGCCGAGCGGACAGTTGTTCATACAGATGACGTCCGTTTCTACGGGCACCTGCACCTTAATACAGGTATCCATGCCGCCCAAACCTTCCTTTCATGGACAAAGAACTGCGGAGTCCACAGTGCCACATATCCCCGCACGTCCGTACCTAGCAGCGCCGGAGGCTGAAGTTCGCCCAGTTGCTGTACAAACCATTTTTCATTGCGGCCAAATCAAATATTTCATGACTTTATGTACTGCGCGCCATGACCACCAAAAATAGTCGTCTCCTTGGGGCTAAGTATCGGCAGCAGTTTCGCCCTCGGCCTTGCATGGAAACTCCAAGCCAGAGTTACGTCAACTCCAGACCGACTTTCCACAAGTGGGACATTGGCTGGTAGGCCTCGCATCACCTGTTCGCGTCCCCCGAACCGCCATTCTGAAGCGGCATTTGACCGCCACCGCCTGTTCCTGGCGCCGCTCGCGGCCTCAGAATTCGAGCCCGGGCCGGAACCTCCGCACGGGGCAGGGCTTGCCAGCTCTCAGCGAGACTGAGTTCGGCAGTGTGAGTCTTTGGAACCTGCGGCTGGAAACAAGGTTCCGAGCCTCTTTTTCTCCATCAAATTGGTCGGGCCCCTATGAATCACGTCATCTTACGTGAAGCTCTTGAACTTCATTACCGCCGCACGGGGCGTGACGTCATACGTTGAGCGTTGGTATGTGACGACCTCAAGTATGCGAGAGAAGTGCTTCTTCCCGCCACTGCGAACACCACTTTTCTGCAGCTGTGCAAAATTTTGGGCTTGCAAACATCTAAATCCTTGGTACAGTACATTCGTTGAGCGTCTGCAGTGCCCCCATTTGTGACACGCTTCCTTTCTCGCTGAATTTCTTCCCTGACGAAGACTCTGCACGGCTCAAGCAATGAACCCAATCAGACTTGTTATTTACGCCATAAACGCAGATCGCATTTGCATTTGTACGCGTTAAAATGCTTTTACGTTTTTACCCGTAAAAACGCTTAAAAATACGTAAATACAACGTAACAACAGCCTCGTGTACATAAAGACGGTTCATACAGCCTTCGGGACTCCGGGGAATGGCACCCACGCGCACGGAAATGGGCATAAAACGAATTTTGTTTCACTCCATCGTGGCACTTGTCGAGTGGGAAGTGGACGCTGTGTTGCGGGCGCTCAAGCGATCGGAGTACTGATCACTGTACGCAACTTCCATCGCGTAGCCTGGGTGTCACAACGAGCCGCAAAAATAGTCTGTTTTGTAAATTTACGTTTTTGCGCACAAAACACGTAAACGTGAGAACTTAAATGTAAAAGTAAATAGCAAGCCTGGGTCCAATAACATGACAACTTTCGATGTACAGCGATTTGACATGTCAGGCACGATGTTTAGATGCCGGCCATTCTTTCGAGCCCGTAGCTAAGCCCGCGAAGCGGTTCATGCGTTGTGCGAAGCGCCTTGAGCTGCGGCGTCCCGTGTCGTGCTCATTGGAGAGTGCGGCGCGCAGCCCATCCCACAGCTGCGGCCGCTCTGGGGCAGGGCAGCGAGTAGGAGACGGAAGGCGGAGAGGCGGGAAGGCCCTAGGGCCTTAATGTGTATTGCCAGCATTCTCCCGTCTCCAATCCCGCAGCAAGGCGGCACTGGGGTCTGTGGCAGCCTGTGTGGGAGCGTCGCAACTGAGGGCCAAATTTCGGCCACGTTGGTTGTCTGACCGGGGCTGCTGCATTTTTCTTTCCACTCATCGGTTGTGCAAGTTAATTCATGTGTGCTACAGTCTCAACCGTACATGGGGAAATTATATCTATTAGAGATGTTCTAGTTTAAATCACATCCGGACGGTGCGCGACACGGACAATGCCGCAGGGCAAATAGTGCACCGGATTGCTGCAACACCCTTTAGTGCACAAACCTTCCAAATGCCGCTGTGGGTTTTGCGGCTGTGTTAGATGGCAAATTGCTTGCACCGTTGCAGCACTTGCTCTTTTCTGAGCATCGCCAACGGCCTTTAAAAGCAGCTTCGCTTTGCTTGCATTCGCAGCCTATTTTTGTCGACCCGTATTGAACCTGACCGTACATTCCAAAATACAGTCGAAAATTCCATGAAAATCTTCAACGTAGAAGGGTGTTATTCAACTGTGACTTCACGGTGTCGTCAATAACGTACTAACACACTCTGAGACCAGAAACACTTCCAGTCGCCTCCCCAGTCACAATTTCAGAAAGGGCCACTTTCTTTAAAAGAATGGGCGCTGTCTGCAGAAAGAAGAATAGTGTTGCAGCAAATCGCAGTTTGGCATTGTAGCAATACAGTACAATACTCTCGGGAAAGTCGGTTTCCAATCTTCCAAAGCGACATAACAACCGAGTCGATGTCGTGATGCCCTCGATGCCATGTGCTCTCTCAAAGCTGTTGTCTTTCTGCTTTCTGTCATTATCTGTTGGTGTCCCCTGCACGAAAGTTGGTAATAAGCCAGCGAGAGGCCATCTCTCCTGCGGGTACATGAGGTCCACGACGTGCCTGGGAGCGCATTGCATCGTCGAACGACATAGCTTGGCTGCCTTTTCTCTGTGGTTTTCCCCTCTGGCCATTTGCTGCCAAAATAACGTCGACGGCTGGCTTCGTCCTGTGCACAAGCCACTGTCGGCGTGCAGGCCCATTCCATGTCTGGGGCAGGTGCACCATCCTGCCCCCCGCACACCCACCATCGCCTGCAAACGGGGCACAGGGGCGCTTCTGGTATGTTTAGACGGATCCATATCAAGTTTCAAGGCACTGCGTCGTGTTGCTGAATATGAACACCCCAATGTGCATTGTGCACGCTTCTGGAGGGCGAAGCTCCACGAGCTTCAACGGGCCTCGTCGCGAGCCCAATCATCACCTTAAAAGCCGATGAATGTTGAATATGTATGTATGAAATAGTTGTTTGCTTGGCAACAGACCACCGCACACAGCCTTCGGCAGCTCAACGGAGCGCAAACGCGACAGGCACTGGCGGCCACGCGGAGGACATGCCCCGCCAACCACTCCCGCAGCAACTGGCGCACATTTTCGTGGCGACGCGATTGCGCCCTGGGGCCCCAAAGTACTGGCGTGCCTGCCCCATTCCCTCCATTCGGTCCATCTCGTTTCCCCCTCGGGGCACCCGGGTCGGTGGGTGGGGCCATCTCCTCCAAAACGGGTCCACACACAGATCGCCCTGCTGCCAATCGAGATCGGCACCCACCACCACTGCTTGCGCCCTCCCCCCCTTTCGCCAGGCGCCCACCCGGCCCGCGGCACCCCCCTTGCCTGACCGCCCCCTGCCCCAGGGCGCCCCGATCGCCCTCATCGAGATGGCATCCAGCATGACCCCGACGTCCATGGTGCAGGGGATGGGCCTGGCCCTGGAGGGCCGGAGGGCGCTGCCGCGGGTGGGCGGCGGCCGGCTGGCGGTGCGCGCCGCGGAGGAGGGCACCACGGAGACCAAGTCCAAGCCCAAGCCGCGGCCTGTGGGCCGGAGCTGGAACCCGCCCAAGCTGGATCCCAACACGCCGTCGCCCATATTCGGGGGCAGCACGGGGGGGCTGCTAAGGAAGGCGCAGGTTGGTGGGCTGGGGGGGAAGGGGGCTGGCGCGAGGGGCGGGCCGCCTGCTGGACTCATTTGTTAATTTTTATGAAGGGGAATCTGGCGCCGGGAGGAGGATGGGGATGGGAAGTGGTGACCTTGGTGATCAGCCTCTGTGACGGGTGTTGGTGTTGGTGTGTGTGGGGGGGGTGGGGGGTGGATGGGTAGGGGGGGGGGTCTAGGAGGTGGTCCCGAGATCTGTGGTCGGCATTGGCGGGATGTGGACTGACCCGTCGAGGCTGTGGTCGCCACGAGGGGAGGTCTGAGCTGGGCTGAGCGCTGGGAGCACGATGTCGTGGTTGAGCTTTCAGAGGGCCTTCGCCTGGGGCGGTGCGTGCAGTGGGGGAATCCGAAGCCAGCCGCACACGCTCCAGATCACGGTGCCAATTTCCAGGGATCGGGCCGCAAGGATCGTGGGCCCGTTGCCCCCTGGCCTTCCCTTCAATTCGAAGACATGTGGCAGCAGAGTCAATATGTGCTCCCCGTGGCGCAAAGTCCGCTGCTCCCTGCTCCCAACCCGGCCGTTTTTTTGACACTGCCTCGGTCCCTGTGTCCCTCCCACCAAGGTTGAGGAGTTCTACGTCATCACGTGGGACGCCAAGAAGGAGCAGATCTTCGAGATGCCCACCGGCGGTGCCGCGATCATGCGCAGCGGTCCCAACCTGCTCAAGTTGGCGCGCAAGGAGCAGTGCCTGGCGCTCACCACCCAGCTTCGCACCAAGTTCAAGACCGACGCCTGCTTCTACAGGTGGGGAAAGCCAGGCAGGAATCGATATTGAGACGATCGATACGGGCACCCCGATGCGGTGATCGCCCCCGCCGTCGTATCTCCCCGCCCAATGCGGGCCTCCTGCGACGCCTGTGTGGCGATAATGGCCCCGTGGCCGTCACCTTGGCTGACTTGGCCCCCGCCTTTGTCGCTGCGGAACTGGGTGCCAGGGCGGGACAGCTCTTGGTCGTGTCGATGCCTCGAGACGGCGCCGGTTCACCCCGCCGATCTCGCCACCAAGACTGGGCCTTCGTTTTGGATCCGCTGTTGCTGTGCGCCCCCACACCGCGCGGGCCGCTGTCCCGCCTTTCGGCAACCCAGCGCCGCGGTCGGGAGCTTCGGGCCGGCATCCGCGCTTGGGCGACGGGACGCCGCTCAATTTGAGCTGTGGGTGGGCGCAGGGTGTTTCCCTCCGGCGAGGTGCAGTACCTGCACCCCAAGGACGGCGTGTACCCTGAGAAGGTCAACCCCGGACGCGCCGGCACCAACGTGAACGCCAGGCGGATTGGCGACAACGTCGACCCTGCGCAGGTGAGCGGGATGTGTTGCCCACGCAAGAAGTTTGTCTGGCGGTATTGCCCAAAGCTCTTGGCGCCCCATTGGGTCCCAGAGGATGGCTGTTGAAACCTTGCAAAAATGCAGGTGCCCCCTGTGTCATGCGATGCCTTGATCCCCGAAAGCCACCAAAGGGACGATTGGATGCGCGTCGCCTTGTGATGCACCACGGGTAGCTTGGGTGGTGGGGGGGCTGAAGGGGAGGAGGTGCAGGGCTGGAACGGAGAGGCTCAAAAATCAGCAAGTCAATCAAATCGACTTGGTGTGTTTGGCAGTCCGTCCCAGCAACGATTAGGGAGTCTTTGTGTGGAAGGCCTCTAGATGGGTGTCAACCAGCGAAGTGTGTGCCGATTGGTGCTGATCATGTCCCTGGCTGTTTTCGCAGGTCAAGTTCACTGGCAAGCTCGGGCCCTTTGATGTTTGAATCAACGTTTGAGAGGAAGAATTTTGGGCAAGGGCGCAATTGTTGTATTGGTACGATCACGCAACAAACCAAGGTGTGGCCCAGTGCTATGGCGAACAAATCTGATTGCGAAGGGCCTGGCTGCATGTAGGTGCACACGTTGGGTGGCAGGGGCTACCTTACGAAGTGTGTTGTTGATGCCACGGTTTTGGGGGGACGAGAGCTTGGTGGCTTGTTCAGCACAGGTGTGGATTTTGGACAGCAAATTGTAACGTTTTCGTCTGTGCATGCCTGCTCCCTGACGGAACAGCCGCCGGGGAGGTGTGACAGTGGCCTTGCGGCGCGAAGAAAATTTCTTTGAGAAAAAGTTTGACTACTAGGTTTGTGTAACGGATGTCACTTGTCCATCACGCCATGGCATGTAAAACAAAACTGCTCCCTGTTCAAACCCACCTCCTGTAGGCGGTGCGAATGTCTGTACGAAGTTGGGGGCTGTGCAGGGCCTCTTGCCTGTGGTCGAGGGGCGATGGAGCACTGCTTGACAGGGGTTTAGTGTGCTGTGGAGCATGCCAGCTTGGGCAACTCTTCCCTACTAGGTGGCAGAGTCCAGAACATTTTGAGACGTGTCGGGGTGTGGGCCACAGTGTTGCTATTTCGGCTAGCTGCATATCGCCGGTTCTAGAGCTCGCCCCGTAGTCGGACGCCAGTGACGTCTCCTTGTTCCCCTGGCCGGATAAACAATGTTATTGGCTGGTGTGCACACGAATTTTGCTGCTGCGTGAACAATAGACTTGCACAGTTCTTGCACTTTAATTCGCATATTGGGCTGGAGACGACGTGCATGCATATAAACTTTCATGCACTGGGCCCCTCGTTGGAGTTTATATAGTGCGAGCTACGAGCATGTCTGCCCGTCGATGTTTGCACTTACGGTTTTGCAGTGCGTATCCAAAGGCGAATCTGGAGACCACATCCATTTCCGACGGCAGGGGTTGCCTCGTTCCTTGCGGCGCTTATTTGCCCTCGTGATACGCCACAGTCATTACCAGTCCATAATGCGACTTGGCTGTGGGAACGTTGGTGTCAGCAAGCTACCAAGGATATGTGACTGTGCGGAAAGTCGTTGTAGAACAAGAAAGTGTGCTTGGACAACTCGTGTTGATAAGCGTTGGCATCAGGAAGACGAACAGTTGCGCAACATTGTGTGGACGTAAATTTCCCTGGGCTCAGATTCCCAGGGGCGATGACGGGTGGGAGGCGAGCGGGAGGATGCATTTAAAGCAGGCCAGCGGGGCAAGGAAAGTTGCTTCCTGAACATGTATATACGTTGACCCAAAATTTGTATGATCTGTGGAGAATCTGGTGAAAAAGACCAGAATGCAAAGAAATGGATTCTTGGGAGGATCCAGGTTGTGGGAACGGAAAGTGCGCAGTCTTCAAGTGTCAAATGACAAATTTGTCCTCCACTACTGCGGTTGAATGCACAATACGCAACAGTATCAATTGGTGACTCCATCCAGGTGTTGCATAGCACGGTCAATGCCAGCTGCATCCTTGTGTTACGTATTCCTTCACAAGGTACGGCGAGGATCTTGCGCCTTGCAGCAGACGACATGGACATGCGCATTCGTTCCATGTGTCATGCACAATCTTCAAATGCCCACAGCTCTCGAGCAGCACCGCCCCAAAAGAAAGCACAATCACGGCAAGAAATAATGGAATGTTACATATTAAGCACGGATCAAAGTTGCGCAAGTCAGGGTTTGGGGCCAAAAATTGGACCACTGTGTGAGGACGTTGTGCCGCCAAGGCTGAAAGTACGGCCCCCAACACACATAAGCATGGATTTGGTTACACAAGAGTCAATTCTGCGCGAAAATGGCCATGGTGTTCGGCACACTGGAGGAACAACAAACGCGCTATGCCACAACAGCCACATGCCGCGGGTGTCACACTGCGCCTGCGGCTGCCCTGGACTTTGAGGCCGCTCGATCTGTGTTCGTCCACACCGGAAGTTTGCCACCTCCCAGAGCACCCGTCGAGTGCCGCACGTCAAACTTTCGGACCACAGCCGCTGTGCAAATCAACGTCGTCCATCGGATGCCGGCCATCAACTCGGTGCGTCATTCCAACCGCTGAAGGGCGAGACTGTCGCCATGTCCGCCAGGATCATGACACCACCATGACGTCTTCCCGTCACGATCCCGACACCACCAGTGTCGTTCCGACACACCACCCCACGTCATGCTGACAGCGCTCAATACAGAGCCCCCGAAGCGTGGCAACGCCCATCCATCCATTATTTAATCACACACCGAATCGGGGGACGAGGGAATGTCACCCCAAAGGGAAGCACACGCCAAGGCGGCCCCCAGCTAGTTGGAAATCGGCAGTTCCACTCAGCCTGAGTCGCGCAGCCACGAATCTGCGACCCTGACGGGAGAAATGAGGATATCCGAGAGCCACATCCGTTGAAAAACTGCCCAACGAATCTGCCCTTCCCGCAGCTGGGCCGGCAAGACAAAGCGGGGGCCCTTAGCCACCAGGACACGCCCACCGTCCTATTGCCCGGTCTTCCACTTTCTCGATTCACGCCGAGGCCTCATGCAAGGGATATCGGCTCTGGAACACACCGGAGTGTGCCGCAATATCATTGTGGGCTAATGGGAGGAATTGCCCACAGGGAAATTAGAAAAGCAATTTGGTGATCGTGATGCCAGGCACCGTGGCCCAAGGGGCCCCGACCCAACTGGACGAACTCCACCCGAGAAGGACCTCCCAGACGACCGCCCGTTTGTGGGAGGCGGCCCGGGCACAGCGCCCTTGAAGGTCCCACACGCACCCATCGCCCTGCGGCAGTGGGCGCCGTCCTTATTGCCTGCTGCCTTCCGCGAAAATCGTTTTGAAGGGACGCAAATGAGTGTTTATGTCATGACTGGCGTCCACCGACACTTGCCTTGGACGCCCCACCCAACTCGCCTCGGACGGGCGGGCAGTGCTTGGCCAAGGGAAACAAAAATTCTTGATCGGCTGATTGACTGATTGATTGAATGAAGTGTTAAGCCACGCAAGGCACGCCGTGTCGTCGCACACAAATCACATCTCATTTTATAAATCCTACAATCCAGGAACATCCCACGTGGGTCGTTCTCGACTGGCTGCAGCTTCGCACGTGAACGGCTAGCGCCAATACGCGACCTCTCACCGCGCCTGCGCCGTCCCCAGGCCAGTCCGCATCGCCTTCCAACTCGTGATCTCCAAGCACGTTTTTTTTGTCGCCACTCAATCCTCATTCCCGAAGCCCATTTCTGATTAGCTCTCCGGCATTCGACCACCCGATCGCCCGAAATGTGGGAATCAATTGCAGTGAACATCAAACAGGGCCAAAAAATTCCTTTAAAAAATTGCCTCCACGGCACACTGAAGCGGTGCAACCCTGAACGGAAGGAAAAGCTCATGGACATACCCTCAATGGGCTGCTGCAGTCTTGGCCTTTGGAACAACGCCCAACTGCGGCTTTCCACGGCCAGCGCCCTCCATCCAGGGGCAGCACACGTCCTCTATTTCGGCGTCCCCAGTGGTCACCGTATCAAAATTGAACCCATCATCTTCGCCGTCACTGTGGCTGCAATACACGACCGTTGATCAAGTCACACTGGCGCAAAGCTTTCCTTTGTTTCAATAAAGTTATCGCCCAATTGGGCTTGCAAGCCATGAAAACTGTGGAGAAATTGCGCAATTTTTGTTTCATCAATGTGAGCATTCAATTCACATATCCATTGTCTCAATGCGCCATTGCAGAACATTATTCTTCCAGCAAATAGTACAGAAGCTTTTGAAGCCATTGGCAGAGTGTCCGACAGCATGAAATCGAAGTCCACCTCCCCGAAATCCATTCACGTACAGCGCGTGAGCTGAATGTTACAGTAACTTGTTTGCCAGTACTTTCGGCATTCATGATAAATCGCGAATGTACGCTGCTTGATTCGCTAGCTTTGTTGTCAACGCGTCGTTAGCATATTGCCATTAATGAGGCGGCAGAAATCGCCACCCACAATCATGCTGGAACATATCCCAGCCGTTCAATATACCTGAGTGCCTTTGACGCTCGGAACGAGCATTGTGTTCCATCGGCTCCCTGAGCGAGAGCCAACCAACCGACCTTTCACTTCGAATAACTCCAGACGCGTGTTAATCACGCTGAATCGCTGAAATTGGTCACATGCGCATCGTATCGCACATACGCAAATCGTTCGTGGTCTTGTAGCGCGCGTCTGAGCCGCATCAATGGGCGTCAACCAGTCCGTGCTTCTGGCGCCATTCGGCGCAAGTGTCCGATACCCTTCATTTCCGGACATTCAGTCATGACAAGCATTGAGTCATGAGGCGATGAGCTCACGAAGGTCATTATGGTCACGAAAGTGATTTCCGGGCTTAGGGTGCCTAGGTTTTAGGGTTTGAATCCCTAGTACCCTTCATGACCTTCACATCCGGTGATGATAGGTTTCGGACAATCCTGTATTTCCACCGGCGCGCCGAGATCCACTCGCGGTGCATCAGCTCGGCACCATGTCATGTCCCAAACGCCCCGCGGGCGCAACTCATAAGGTGATCACCTTGCAACGCCATTTGGATCCACGTCCACGAACTCCAACGTGTACTTTTTCTCAGGCGTGTCCACTGCCGTGAAGCTGCTGTATATGTCATCCACGCCGATGCTGGCCACATCGCTGCCGGCGTCGCTTCCGGGGGTGGCGTGCCGCCGCATCCCGGCGCGCAGGTCCAGATCCTCCGTCCTGCTCATCTCCTGTGTGCGCCCAACGGAAAATCTGAATCACAATACTCGCAAGAATTTGATTTGCTATACCAAAATGAATCTATGCTATTTGAAGTTAATGGACTATACGCAGCTGCACATTACTGACCGAAAAAATATGGAAAAAACTAACTGCATTGTGCGGAACATCCCAAAACGCTGCGGGTGCCCGTTGGCATTTGCGGCGGCACGTTGAGGATGATCGTATCCGCAGCGCTCCTTTGAGGAACTCATAATTGCCTCAGTTCATCTTCACAGCCAGCCATAAAGCACAACGTAATTCCATGTTACATGGAATCAACTCTGCTACAAATGATTCTAACAACAGTGCTATATTGTCCTGCCGCGGTTGAGAGCGGCGCGTCAATGTTGGGAAACAGTGCATTGGCAGTGCAGAGATTTCGCTTTAGACAGTGGATCAGACTCTTTTAGTTGCAACAGCTCATCGCTGCCACTTTTACAAGTGACGCTGGAGAGAATCGGCATCGCGATGCCGGTACCTGCGCGTCAGGCATGCTGGCCGCGTGCTTCTCCCGCAGGCTGCCCTCCGAGACGTCGCCGTCGTATGCGGAGTCCGACTCGTCGACGGGGCTCGCTCGGCGCGACAGAGGGACGGGGAGGTCGTCGGCAAGGACATCCACGCTTTCCTTCTTCTCCATTGTGGACATCTGCAGATGGGCAATATGCGCCGTCACTCCTGTCTTAAACTGGGATCGCCTATGAGCGCTGTGGTAAAGTAGCAGATTCGCATCATACATTTCATGCGCGTCGCCTCTGCACCACGGAGTCAGGCTTCTCATTACAATGGCCACTGCCACCGATGTTTGAGTACCCAGGGGGCACGACACAACCATACAAAATTTTGCCTCAGGCGATTGCCATTCGGCTATAGCAAATTGCAAGGGGCTATAGCGCATATATAGATGCGCGTTTAGCACCTTGCAACCGCACCAGGCGAACCCAGACTGTACAGCTGAACGCGCTGTACAGCTGTGCAGCACGCTAGAATTCTGTTGCAGCATGGCCCATCACAACGGCGTCTTGCTGACGACTTTGGATACCACCTTTTGGGGCCAAAAGATGGTTCAAATCTTCGAAGTTGCTGGGATGATAAAAGGCACGGCATATGCATTTAGAAAGCGATGAAAGATACATCAATGTCCATGATTTGATTATAGACGTTCTTCAAATCTCAGATCGAGCCCTTGCCATTTGGCGCTATTGATGAGACCACCGTGACCGTAATGACATTAAAGTAGCTATCATGGCGTCAATTGGTGTCAATGGCACTCCAGAAATGCTGTTTTCTACTAATGGAATGTGTTGCCAACGTAATGTCCCTTGACGTGAACGTGCCCGTGTCCTTGCACGTCGCCGCACCTGATGCCGCCTGATCGCCGCCTCGAATTCCTCGTGCAGCGCCGTCTTCATGCCCGCCAGGTTGTCCTGGGACTCGATGGTGGCCTGCACGTCCCGGTGGCGCTCATCCCCCTCGGCTCCCTCGCTGAAGTAGTCGTCGCCCACTGGCGGCGCCCCCGGGACCAGCATGGGTATGGAAGGCCTCCAGCACCTGGTGAACAGTGCAAAGAAGAGCTGCAAGGAAAGGGGCACACGTTTGGTGAGTCAGGATGTGAAGAATGTGTAATCGCGCAAGTTGGACGTGGAGTTGCGATTTCCGCGTCTGAGGAGCAGTGGACCTGTTCTGCCTTAAGCCGGCAGACATGGGTCCAGCATTGGATTAATTTCATCGCTCCTTGAGGGGAATTAAAAAGGTGAAACGAACAGCGATCGGTGGATATGGCGAAGGCATGGACCTTGGATATTGCTTGTTGCAGTAGCATCGACTGCCTTCCCGATAGTTCGCCACAACAACATCTTGGTTTCATTTACATTTGTCACATGAGAAAACAAAACCCTTTATCTAATCTGGCGATGTCGGTCATTGGTTCCAAGCACGTGGCTTTGCTCGAATCCGCAGGTCTGCTCATGAGCACGGCTGGCATTACGTCACAAGCATTGTGCAGTGCGCGGCGGTTTCCCGTGCATTTGTGATTTCAAGTCACTGATCAGTGAATCAAGTTCATGACCACGCAGCTTCATCCGTGGGATGCGACGGGAAGATCAACTCGGTGCCACGATTACCCACATCGCACAATGAACTGATCAGTCGCAGCAAGGCGATTCAGTTGCGCTTCGACGACAGGGAAGTGTGCCGTCCGGCGCATGTGCATAAAACGGAATAACCCACGCTAGCAGAACACGGCATTTTGCGATGGCAAGTGCGACGTCATTTTGACACAAGGTGGAGGCCTCACAGTGGCTGGGATGGCATAAAAGTGGCTGCGGTGGCACCAATTAGTTCCAAATGGCGTCGCAATTGACATCGCAAAAGCGGCGTTCTCTTCTGCTGGCGACAGTTGCGCACACCTTTAGGGGATTGGACTTGAGCCACCCCCTATCCTCCCCCGACGCCCCGCCCTCCTCCTCCCCAGCTTCGCCGGCTCTGCGCACCGGCGCGCTCGGCCGCTGGATGCTCTCTACCGGGGGAGCCTCTTGCTCCAGACCCGCCTCCCGACCACCCACTGTCGAACGGGCGTATGAACGCGGTCACAGCAACGCGATTCGGTGAGCCTTTGCGCACGGCGAACTGCAAATACACGGCACTGAGAATTTGGCAATGGCTGAGCACTTTCGGCCGTATGAAAGATATTTCCCCAGCAGGTGATTCGCCGTGCGACTTTGCCGTGCATTCAACACTAATTTAACAGCATGCAAAACAGACAAACGGGCATTAGGACTGAATAGATTCGTAGAATCTGAGTGTGTTAAACATGAGATTTCAATGAACTGATCATAAACACTGCTTTGCTCGGGCAACATAGGAAGCTGACGGCTAGCTCATTGCCTTGTTATGGTAAAATGAATGGTGTGGTGCTGGTGACGCACGGGCAGCCTCGGCGCCCCCCTTGTCTGAGTGGGCCCGGGCCGGTGGGCCGCACTCCCACTCGTGCTCCGCCTCGAACACGGAGTCCTCCATGGTCCGCCCCGTCGCCCACTCGTCGTCCTTGAAATACAGGACATATCTATTGCCCTTCTCCACCAGTTGTGGCGTCACGGAGCTGAAGGTGGTGTGCATGTCGGAGCAGTAGGACTCCTCAGGCTCGGCGGTGCACCCCCTCCTTGGCGAGGGGCGGTGGCTGTCCTCCCACCTGCAGCCTCCGCGGGAGGCCGACCTCCGCCACGCGTCCAGGGACGTCTCCCCATGGGCTGCCGACACTCTCCCGGCCTCGCGACTCGGGCTTGGACAGCCGTCACTGTCGTCACTGCTCGCAGACGGACTCTCCGTCGCCTCTACGTCGCAGGAGACATCTGGCGGTTCGTCGGCCGGGGGCTGGTCGTCGGGAGAGAGGGGCGTCGCGGTGCCTCGCAGCATGGCCTTCATTATGAACCATTCCGGGGGGCCGGAAGGGCGCCTGGGCGGGGACAGCCTGCCTTCCGGTCGGCGGTCAGGGCTGCGGCTGTGCTCGGGGCCCCTCGTGGGCGCGGCTGGGCCCGCTGCCATTCACGGCCTGGACACAGATTGGGAGAGTGGGCGCGTCAGCGGGCGCAAGAAGTTCTAGTGCTTAAAGGTAAATTTATCGCCTACAAAGGTAAGGGTAGAAGTGGGAAGACAGGCTCAGATGCCGCAGATAAGCATGTGGCAGCTTTTGATTGCTGACAGCAAGCGTAAGGACTGGTATTCCGCTGGCAGGTATGTTGACAAGTATTACACAGTTCGCTCCGTGCTCAGCGGCGTCAAATGGCTGAGTGCCGTGCTTCTGTCGTGTAAAACGCCTCTCAAAAATGTAACATGGTACAAACATGTGAATTGGGCCGAATCGCGTGGGCCTGACAGTGGTTTGGTGCTATTTCCACTTGTGTGTGATCACATCTGTTTCTTCTACATGACATCATCGTGACTGCGGCACGCCTTGATGCCACTATGTCGTATGCGACCAAGATGTTGCGGTCGGATTCGACAGCGGACGCAGCCAGGCTCACAGCCCTGGTTCGTTTTGAACTTTTCGAACGTGACAGTGGAAGTGTTGTGCCTCGCACATTAGGAAGAAAAGGGCTAAATAACACTTGTTCAAATGTGTACAAAATTTACGGGTTTGTGTTATTTCCGTGTTTCAACATGCAGAGCACTGATAAAATGCATACATATGTGTGTGTCCGCAAAAAGTGTTATTTGGTCCTTTTTTTGTTGGTGACAACGTTACATCGCTTCAGTCCTGCGTGCGGAGACAAGACTTCGTAGCATCAGAGCGTCAAAGGAATTTTCCAGTCCGTCGCCGCGCTACACGGCGAGCTCGTGAATCAGAATCACTGGGAACGCCGTTTCGGGGCAAAAACGTTCAACTAAACACCATAAAGTAATGAGCCTGGTGCCATACTTTCCAGCAACAGTGTTTGGGCGGGGTTATTTGTTCGGCCTGCGTAAAAGAAACCGGGCCGCCTTCCGCTCACAGCGGACGGCTAAACCTGGGCCGGCGTGATGCGACCGCGCGTCGGGGGCTGGCGCGCCAGATACTCGCGCCGTCAGCGGCGCCTTGTCCCAGGGCGCGAGACCCAGGGGGCGACTCCGACACTGTCGAGGGAGGCCGAGGGAGCGTTGACGACGCGAACCGCCTGGCACGGCGCCTGCAGCACGCCGGAACGAGACCCGGCGGCCGGAAGGGGCGATCGGGGCCGGTACTCCGCTCGTCCCCGCCTCAGCGCTCCGCGAGGCGACGAAGTGAGAACAGCCAAGCGTTCGCTGCGTCGCGCAGAATTGCGCGGGGACGGGGGGTTCCCGGAACCCATTGCCGGATCTCAGGGCATGATGTGGCTCGGCGCAGACATCTGCGAGCATGCTGGAGGATCGAGTGGGCGGGCGTCCGTCGAGAAGGGATGGATCCAGGGCTGGAGAGGCGTCGGTGCCCCCGAGCGCCGTGCCGATCAAAATGCGGTAGCGGTGGCGTTTCTGGAACGCCCTCGGGACGCTCAACGCCGACATCCGTTCGCGGATCCTCACTTCACACCGACCAGCGCATCCTCAGCATCCCAGGCGGGGAACGGAGCGAACGGATCAATTCAACAACATTGTCGTCAGACAGCCCAGCCGCACGATGGAAGGCACCAGTGCCAGTTTCACAAGCGGCCCCGGCTCGCGGGCAGGCCCCCTCCCTCCCTCGGCCGCAGACTCCTCGCCCCGTTTCGGGAGGCCCCCGGGGTCCCAATCGGGCTTTCAAGCCCCGACAGTTCACCGCATCGGACACAAAAATTCCCGCACCCACTGCTCCAATCAAAGGCAGTCGCGCACCCAGCTCCCCTCCCGGCCGGCTCACCGCTCAGCGGGCGGCGGGACGCGTGGGGCCCTGGATGCGGGTCCGCCTCGCAGCCTCCGGGCGCGCGGCGCTCAATCCCCAACGGCACCCGCGGGGACGGCGGGCGGCGCGACACGACCATGCCAGGGCCGGCTCCGGGACCCGCCGACGAGGAACGGCGCCAGGCTGGCCGCTCCACGGGGCGGAGGCGATCGGGATTGCCGGAGGGGGGCGGGGGGGTGCTGTAGCTACGGGCGCGCGCCCGGGGGCCGCGTGCTGGCGCAGCGAGGGGCCTTTTGTGGGGAGGGCAGCACGCGGCGGGCCGGGTTCCGCGCCCGGACCGAGGGCGGAATCTGGACGCCTTGGGGGGCATCAAGCTGATCGGCCGACAGTTCCACGCGCGGCGGTTTTCGCGTTCTACGCCCAAGACTCACTCTCCTAACGCCGCCCGCACGTGCTGCTATTCACGCTCTCATTTGCTCAATTGCGCCGCGCATTTGGCACCGCGACAAGCGGAGCCCTTGGCGGTTCGCTTTGTAAAAGCGGATCGGAACGTTCACTAGCAGCCGTCGGCTTTTGGTGCCGTCAAAGCGGCTCGGAACGTTCAATGAACGTTCCCAGCGCGGGCAGGTTCCCGCTCCAGAGACCTGCTTCGGGCAGCCCCCGCTTCCGCGGGGATCCCCGCGGCCCGTCCAACGGGGACGGGCCGCGTTCACGGAAGACGTCAACTCGTCCTCGACGCGGTAATTGGAGCGGCGCGGCAGGTCGCGACATTAGGGCGCGCCGAACCCGGACTTCGCCGAAGGCGCCTGCCGCTTGTTAGGCATGTGCCACCGATAGCGGCGTCCGTCTTGTTGTCCGTCTTGTTGTCGTATCCGATGCGCTGCCGATTGTTGCGAGTGTCCTTTGTCGCCTCCGGTGGGCGGCGACTTGTTGGCAGTTCGCAACGATGCCGGCGCTACACTGTCTTGAACCAGACAAGATTGTCATACATGTACTTCCTCTGTCCGGAATTAAATGAACGCTTTTCATTGAGTGGCCGCAATCATGTCAAGCCTTATCTTTTTTTGTTAAAAATTAGACTGCAATACTACCTACGAGTTTTGTACATGATGTCAAATTTTTGTGGAGAACGCATTAATACAACAAATTGTGCACAGCCTCAAAGACGCCCAATTCCCAGACCATAATTTGACCCATCGCATTGGCGCGCTGGCTTGGCCGGGAGTGGCGTTCCGTGTCCAAGAACGCCCCACTCTCGAGCGCATACTTTCTCGTGGAGTCTGCAGCACCATGAAGGTAGAGTTGACCACACGCAACTCCAGCTCCAGCACAACGATCGACATCCATCGTTGTGGAGCGTCGGCAGAAACGACACCGGTATCTCAGATACAGACTGTTTGTCACCATCGCCGATCTCTGGATTTCGACCCATCTTGTGCAACGACACATTGGCGTGTGTCGGATCCATCCTTGCTAATACGTTCTTAGGTATCCTGAGACCCGCACTGCTGTCGTTGCATGCACTAAAGACTATCTAATCCGTCGCGGCTTATAGCAATGGCATGGCCGGAGCAAAGCCATGCCTCTCAAAAGCAATGAATTCCCGCCAATCTTTTGGCGGTGAAACATTACGAAGTGCAGATGGAGGCCCCTGGTGCCTGTTCAGATTCTCTTTCAGCATCCTGCGTGGTTGGCATCTGAAGTCTTGGACGGTGGCGTCTTTCAAAGTGTCGTGAACAGCCCTGACAGGCCGTCATGGAGGGAGCACCCGCCACCTCCATTTCTGGCGATCTTTCTACTCGTGTGCTAAAGGCTGACAACGCAAACCTTCCAAACTTTTTGCGGTGGTTTTACCAGCCTTGCTCACCCCATGAGTGCTGGCGGAGTTTTCTGAAAGGAGTCTCGATAGTGAATTTGGCCGATTTTTCGAATTTCCGATCTCCAGATGGGCATCTGGCTGGACGGGGAAATCCACGGTAGGGATCGACGATCGGGTGGTTTTAAACCTGGTTGCACCGTCTCGCCTTGTCTTAGGGACGGCTCCGACCTGCTGTTTCAACTGTGGCAGCAGCTATCCATTTCTTGGTGCGCAACGTCAAGTGCAAAGCCACCCTCTCCGGGGGTCGGTTTTTGGGGTCGCCAGCCCCGACCTTGAGATTCTCCAACCATTCCGCCCCAAACTTGCGGGTTCAGAGTATTGTCATTTGTGCAGTACTCAATGCTTTGACTTGAAATTTTGGTCAGAGCATTGCATGTAAGTTTATTAGAAGCTCACAAATTTTGGTAAAGAACGGATAAGTGTGTGATGTAAATTTGGCCTGTCAAACAAACGCGTTCATTTAATTCCGGACAGAGGAAGTATGAAAGAACCACAAGAGAAACCACGGAACAAGCCATGACAAGTGCTGCTTGGGTGACGCGGGACCAGGTGGGCGGGAGGGGAAACCATGTTTGGAAGATCACGGCTGCCTTTGCTGCTTGAATTGCAACAATTTTCATCGACTGCTGCCCCACGCGAGGCTTCGATGCCCGCCTAGTATCATGTCATTATGTGCCGAATTTTATCAATCCTACATCTGCTTCTAATGAAGGACTCAATCCCGCTGTCGTGCTGTCTTGCATTCCTGGAGCCAAACACGTCTGTAATGTCGCACAGGGCGGCCCCCCATTGCTTGCTTCGCCACCGTTCGTTCGCAACACAGAAGGCAGTGCCCCTAGTATTGGAGACCCAACAATCTCGGCCAATGTCCAAAGATAGTCTGCTGCGCATAGCCTCCTACAACTGTTGTCAACATTATTTATTCGTTGTGCCTCTGTGCCGTTCCCACATCAACCGTACCCACCAAAACTCCCGCCAACCAATCCACCCCATCGGTCCGGCCACACTAGCCGGGTTTGAAATTGCGCTTCCTCCTCATTTCTGCAACACGCTTGAGGTCGTCTTCAAACTTGGATTGCAGGTGGAGGATTTCTGCAGCAAGGGCAACGCACTGAGCCGTAGTGAAGTAAAATGGGAGAACAGGGCCAAAATGCCAACTGCGTATGAATACAGATCCAACAGCAGGAACAGATGCCTCATCTAAGGTGCCTTCTACTTTTGTGCACAATTGTAGGAAGAGCATAACGGGAAAAGTTGGCAGATGCCTGTGAGGGAACAATGTGCCAAATGCCCATATATAATACTTCAGAGGTATACATTATCATGTTTACAATTCTCTTTCATTGCGCACACTACTTCCACAACAATTACTGCCATTCGGTTCTTTCCACACACAGAAGATGCCCTTTTGAATCAGTACGAAGATGGCGCACACTGGGAGAAAACGGCATGTTGGCGATGCCAACTGCGATGCCATTTTGACACAAAATGATGCCGTCACAGTGATTGCGATGGCATAAAGCCGGCTGTGATGGTATCAATTTGTGTCAAATGGCATCGCAGACAGGCTGTTTCCTGCTGGTGGCAATGACAACACATAACCGAAAGAGTCGTGGCGAGGATTGATGCACATCTGGCGTATGGAACACCAGCGCAAAAGGGGGCGAGAATACGTGCTTGAGGCTTGTCCCGTTTGGCACAGTTCAGACATCTGAAGCATGATTCTTCAGCAGTTCAACAGGCGCAAAAACGCGGACAGAAACTGCATGAAGAAATTGACACCGGTGAAATTTGTCGCTGCCATACCTTGTTGCTTCTTTTCTTTTGAGTGAAACTTGTAGAAGCTCTGGTCAGTCTTCAGCTGTTGGTGAGCACAGCCAAGCGAGCTCAATCGCTGAATGCAGCAACACCCCACACACTTTCTATGCTTTATGCTGGTAATTGGATTGAAATGCCTAGTCCCATGTGCACGTTTCAACATCCACGTTTTTAACACCCATGCCTGCAGCGGCCTGTCACCATACCATCCACAGATATCGAATCGACATGTTTGCTGTTGGAAAGAGGTCCAAGAAACGCACAGAGGAGTAAAACGATCCGTGGCCCCTTGCAAAACGTGGTACCTTGCAGATACAGGATATTCTATGCTGTACCATGGCCCAAGCACGAATGAAAGCTGCAGAAAGCGCATCATTAAGCCAGTCCATGGCAACTCCCCTCAGACAAGACGTCGCAATCCAACTTTGAAAAGCTGCCATGGTCACGCACGGTTACATATACATTCAGGAGATCGTTTGTGACCAATGCAGAAGGCTATTCACATAGAAATGGCGACTAAACACAGCAGCACATTTATGAATCCCAATTTCCTCCCACTATGATGTTATGCTCCGTTCAAATAAGTAGCAGATCCTGTGCAGCAGCTGCAATAGTTACTTCCACCGAAAAAGGGCGTGGGGAAGGGTCTGAGTGGGCGAGGGTGGGTGTGACCTTCAGGGATTGGCATGTGAAGCAGCTTGTAGGGAGCCGCATGTGCATCAATAATAGGCACCAGTACAAGAGTTCTTCAAAAACTTGACTTGAGATTTGACGCGGCATACCATCACTGGCTGGGGCACCCACAGGTAAGATACCCTTTCGATGAGGATCGCTGGCATTATGATAATGCATCATGCTGCTCTCACAGCCATCTCTTTCCAACATAAGGTCTCCCTTAGAGCAGGGAATGGGCATACCTTTGCCTTTTGCTTCATCCTCTGTGCCTCAGCACGCGAGATTGGCTGCACAGCAATGTCACCACCTCGTGTTCGCTTTCCACTCTGTCCAAGGTGCACCACATGTAGTCTTTCATAGGCACCAGCAGCAGCAAGCAGCAGGCTACAAAGTCGTGCTCAGCCACACGAGGGCCAAATGTGCAATTCCCAGCCAAGTATCAGAGGTCACTTCTGGAAATTTAACAAGAACACTGAAGTTCTGGAATACAGCGGTACAACAACAGCTTGTGGAGAGTGCTGACAGGTTGCCTAAAGACTCCAACATGAGTTAAGATCTGGAAATCGAACTGTCCAGAATCTATGGCCGTAAACGATGGACAAAGAGTCGGATTCCTGTAAGGAAATTTGTCACAATGCAACAATATCAGAAAATCTGCCAGTTGCAATTGAACATCTGTCAGGCAAGGGTACCTTCTTCCTATGGACAGTAGTCCAGCCCTCCTCGTTCAACTTTTCCTCCTTCTCTTTCTTCTTGCGCTTCTCCTCTTCTTCGAAATCAATCATCCACTTGTCGATCTGTTCGAAACACACACCACTCACAGCTCGTCAGGAAGGCTGGCACCTTGCACTAACATTGCGTAATGGCCATCTCTGCTGCCATAGCATTGAATTGGAATTTTCAATTGATTGATTGGAACCGTTTGATTGATTAGGAACCAGCATAGACTGATCGTGGCTGTTGTATGGAAGGAACTGTTTATAAATACAAAAGACAATAACTTCTTGCAAGCAGCCAAAGGCACTAATGCTTTAACAACGATCAGGTCAATCACACTACAACTTGGAATCATTCAAGAGACTACGACCATAGCTGTTGACCTCAGTTGTGTGCTGTGCCACTGCACCATTTGAAGCATGGTTGCCCTAGGCCACAAATGATAACAGCACCTTAAAGGTGTTGTGTTTGGCAGCAGGCACTGGTGATGAGCTGAACCTGATTGCTGCAGGACAAAGCACGCAACGCTAGGGATCTGTGTTTCTTTACTTACTCTCTTTTGGAGCTCAAGGTTTCCAGGTCTTTCAGCTTTGTATTCATCCAGCCACACTGCACAACACAACAAAACTTGTGTGATACATTCTTTTGAAACAAGGTACGAGAGGAAGCATGAATCAGATGCCTGCTACAGCTATTGATTCCTGGTGCACAAAACCAAGCTCATTTGTGGGAACCTGCTCAAGGCATGCTATAATCATTGCTGATGCAATTTCTTCGTACACACTGGTGGAGGAGTATTCGGGCCAACATACATTGAGATGCACTCACAAACTCTACCTAGGAAACAGAGCCAAATGCGCTTTGTTACCCATTCTCTGGAGATCACCCCGAAAATGTCCAAGCATTCTCTCTTCTGTCATCAACTTGGCAGTGTTCGTATGTCTTGATATTGCACAGAGTTCATTCCTAGTTCAGAGTTCATTCCTAGGCAGCCATGCATTGCTTCCATGTCACCTTTCAACCCCAACGCCTCTGTGTTGGGAATTATATACTCCACAACGCTTCCGGAAGCAGCCGCTGCCAGAGTGGCATCTCTGCTGGCAGGAGTCTGGAACACAATTATGGCAGTCCTCTGCAATACACCATGCACGGTTGATAACCACAAATCATACACCTACGAAACTACAATAGTGCAGCTCAGCCCAACCACACATCAGTTGCACCCTTCATCATAAGTTGTAACCTTTTTTCTTGGAGAGAACAGCGATACCTGACTTCGGCAAAGAACACCACTGTGCTTCTCTAGCAGAGTGAGGCTGGTTCTTCTGCATTGACTGTGAACGTGCTTCGTCAAATCCAGCTTGCAAGTTCATCAATCCTCAGATTCTCAGTGTTTAGGAATGCCAAGAGAAAATTCGATGAAACAGAACCGTCCCTCAATGTCTTTTTCACGTGCAAACTGCAAACATGCAAATTCCCAGGAAGAAATGAGCTCAAATGTGCTGCCCCCCCTCCCCCCAGGAACCCCACCATTTTCCTCGCGTAGGCCTCCCTCACGTCCTCCCGGCGCGCGCCAACCAAAACAACCAACGCCGTGCCCTGGGCCCCCCCTCACGGCTTGTGGGCACCGATTCTTGCCAATGGACATATTACGTTGACAACTGATGTTCTCTCCTTTGCAACCGCCTTGACTGTCTCCGGGATCCCGCTAAATCTCCTCAACAGTGGAAGTAAAGTCGGATGATCCCTCGTTATTCTGTCTTGTAACAATCTTACCCCCAACGCGACGCCATCACAGCCGCCGATCCATTCCCGCCCGCCCAAACGCCAAGTCCCCCACAGGCATCGCGTTGCGCGCATCCCCGACCCGTCCTTCGATCCCACGGGCCCTTGCCGGTGCCAGATCGGCGCCGGGCGCACCTTGGACGGGTGGACGGCGCTGTCCCTGATGTCGCCGAAGGCCGAGAACAGGGCCCGCAGGGCCGCCTGCTCGCCCAGTCGCAGCGGCAGGCCGGCCACGAACAGCGACCTGTCCCGCGGCGCCACCTGGCCGTCCCCCCTGTGCGCCTTGACGTACAGGTAGCGCAAGAAGGCGTCGCCGCGCCGCAGGCGCACGGGCAGCGCGCGGAAGTCGTCCCTGGGCATGGGGCGCGAGAATGGCCGGTCGGAGCAACCGTATGTCCCATTAGACCTTTTCGTCGTCAAGGTATTCGAGATATCGTACAGACGGAGACGGAGGGGAGAAGGATGTGAACAGGCTGTTCACGGCACCCAGCTAGTCGCTCTGCCTTTTCCGTGAAGGTCTCGTCTTGTTTCGGACACCCTACACCCAAAAAACATTGACCCACTGACCAGCGGTGGCCTTGTCAGCGGAAGAAGAAGGATCTTCGCGGAAAAGACAGAGGGACTGATAGATTCTCCCTCTTCACCGGCTCACGCCGACCCACGCCGTCTGCGCCCGCAGTGCACCCCTGGGCGTTTTGCCGCTTTTCTCGCTTTGCCCCCAAAGGCAACAGTGCGCTAACTCCGTAGTTCTTTTTGCCGGCAGTGTTGTGATTTTTCCTGCAGCCCTGTGCTCGGGCCATGCGTTCAAGCCGACCGAACCAAAAGACCACAGTCTTCATCCAAAAGCAGAAATGCCCAACAATCACATCGGCGCAGCGACAACACTCCAAGCTCACCGGATGGAGGGTGTTGCGGGTAAAGACCACGCGGACGGAGATGAGACGGAGACGAGATGGAGACGGATACCCAGTACACACAGACCCTAAAACTGAACGCCCAAAAGCCCAATCCTGACCCATCTCCGTCTCCGTCTCCGTCTCCGTCTCCGTCTCCGTCTCCGTCTCCGTCTCCGTCTCCGTCTCCGTCTCCGTCTCGTGTTTGCCTCATCCTCGACGTGGTCCACAATCCATAACACTTTGCCGGGAATACGCTGGGGTGGCCGTAGGTAGCGCAGGCCGCATCGTATCCGGGCATCTGCAACCACATTTGGGCCTCGCGGCCCCACACCCAGTGCCTCCCGAGACACCAACAACCCGCCAACCCACCAACCGGCCGCACCCCGACGCCGGCCCACGATGGCAGCCTCCCAGCCCGCCCGTGCCATCCCCGCAGCGCCCCTCCGCGCGCCGTGCCGCTCCCCCGTCAGGCCGATCCCGGATCATCGGCCCCTTGTCACGAGCCAGGCGCTGGCTGGCAAGCGGGCGGGGCCCGACGGTAAGCTGTCGGAGGAGGAGGAGAGGGCGAGGCTGGAGGGAACGGACGCGTTCAAGGAGCTAGTGTCGCTCAGCCGGCGGCAGTCGGTGAACAGGCCGCAGAAGGTGTGTGTGTGGGGGGAGAATGCTGGATCGCCTGGCATTGGCGAGATCCTGGCCGGCGATCGGCGGCATTCAATTAGGCGTGGCCGTCGCTGGCGCCCCGCTGGATGGTTATGCGTCGATCGGGTGCGGCGGCTTGTCGGAGCGCGGAAGATGAGCTCTGGAGGCGGGAGTGCGGGCTGGGCTGATTTGGATTGAATTGGTTGGCCATTGGCGTTGTGGGATGGCAATTCCTGGTGATGGCGGTAGGCCTCCCCGAGTTCGGTTGCCGGAAGACCGCGGGTCGAAGGAGATGGAGTCTTGGGGGATCTGGCTGCGCGTTTCGAGGTCTGGGCTGTGCGCAGCTTGTGGGGCGACCATCGCCAAGATGGTGACGCTCGGCAGTTCGCCCCTAGTCCGGCGTGCCGGCTCGCAGCATTCTTTTGCCCCCACCTGAACTGCCCCTCGCCACGGCTGGCGAGCGGGGCGGGGCCCCTCACCGCGCCGGGCTAGTTCTGGAGCGTCGGTGGTTTGCGCCGGCCCCCGCCGCCTGTGTCGCGATGACGCTCACTCGCGCGTGGTTGCTGTGCACGGGGCAGGCGGAGGACCTCTCGTTCCGGCAGCGGCCTGTTTTCGAGGACTGCTTCCCGGGGAGCGAAAAGTGCTGGAAGGAGGTACAGCACAACGGCGAAGTCTTGCGGGTGGGTTTGGTCCGCTGACGGGGCTTCATTGTCAGATCTGGTCGGTACCGTTTTTGTGCATGTGCAATGGGTTGCTACTGTCTAATCGGCTTTGTTGGATCCGATTAACGGTGCATTGTCGAGGCCGTTGGTGTGGATATCGTCGCAAGGGGCGAGGAGAGCAAGTTTGGGCGCTGGAGAACCGGATGTGTTGTTTGGGCCTCTGTCCGTTATATCAAGTAGTCCTCTGTGGATGGTTGCCTGTCATGGGCATTTTGATATCATCCCCGCACCAAGGGATTGACGTTGCCGTGCTGTAGCTGCCTGTGATGTATTTAACACGATCAGTCCCATTTTCGATGAGAAATGCACAGAAGCTGGAGAACGGGTGGCTTCTGATGTCCCCTTCAAGGTTGCAAGTGAATAGGAAATGTGAAGTAGCAAGTTGGAACAGAACATACCCAGAATCAACTCTGTGGGATTTGATGCAACTTTCATCTTGGTTGGAGACAGTCCGACTGTCTGTCTGGGGGTGTTTCTGTTAAGGTTGATGCTCTTATGTACTTAGGTACCTTTCCGACGTGTTCATCTCACCGATAACAATGGTCATTTTGACCTCTATGACACCAGTGGTCCACAGGTGCGCACTCCATTTTGAGTAAGGTGTGACCGCTGTTGGCAGCCCAACTAATGTCAATGAGTATTGCAAGAGGTTGATGGCCAGTTGCATGTTGCAGGAGTGGGAGGCAATTGGCTAGTCTTGATGCACTGAAGGAGCTGTGGCTCACCTTGTTGGAATATCTTGCATGTAACGAAGGGGACTTTTATTCTGTATGTAGTCCATTGCAACTTGCAAATTGGAAAGCAGGCCTTCATTGATTGTCAAGACACAAAAATTTGCAGTGAATATTTGCACGAAAATATGACTCAGCACTGCCCTCTTCCCAGAAAGCATTTTTGGGGCTGCTAAGGAGAATTTTTGCTTTGCTTGCGAACAAAGATGCATCACCAACACTGTCAGGAGAACAGTGCTCATTCTGCAGATAATTACCACGACTCGGATTTTTCCTTGAAGTTCCAGCAATGAATCCAGCACCCAAGATGCGACAAAATTCGCTGTTTCTTAACTGGAATTGTTTGCCCTCTGCTGGGATTGCTGCAGGGCGTTGATCCCAGAGTTGGATTGCCCAAGCTTCGGACCAGCTGGGTGGCAAAGCGAGAGCAGGACAGTGTGTGCACACAGATGTTCTATGCCAGACAGGGGACAATTACAGAGGAGATGGCCTATGTGGCTGCCAGAGAGGGTATGGACGTGGAGTTTGTGAGATCAGAGGTATGGCCAGAGTCCTATGCGATGTGCTGCTGATCCTTTTGTGCACCACAGGTCATACTTTGTCCCTTTGTCATTTTGAAGTTTCTGTGGTGTCTGTGTTTGTTTGTGTTTGTGTCTGTTTGAAGGCATCCTGGACAGGGAAGTGCTTCATACAGAACATGCCTATCCTAGTGTGGAACCAGAACTAGGTATTGTCGCACATCGCCCAGTGTTGTTGCATGTCTGTGGTGCGATGCAGTTGAAAAGCTGGAAAGCAGGCCATGCCATAGCCTCCCCCCTTGATAAGTGTACATGGACGTTCTCCTTGGTTAGCACTTCAAGAACCACTTATGATAAAACCAAGGCCAACAGCAAGGAGCGCACAGGAAAGCAACAGACATGTGCTCTGGCTGTGTCTGATGGCGATAGAGCTCACGGCGTGTGTGTGCCCAGGTTGCCCGTGGGAGAGCCATCATACCTGCCAACAGGAAGCACTTGGAACTGGAGCCAACCATCATAGGTGTGTGAGTACCCAGGGCAGCAAGAGCTGTCTTGACAATCTGCAGCTTGGTCCTCATCCTGGCCCCGAACGTGGCGCTTTCTGGCTTATTAGCGTATGGCTCTGAAGCGCAGGTTGTGTGTAGGCCTGGTCGTCATCCAGCAGGAAGAATTTGCTTTTCGGCATAGTGTGTTCTTCTGCTTGTGCTGTCCAGTCTTTTTGTTTTCTGTGTCGCAGCAAGACTAACACAATATGGAACACTAGGGGTGCCTGGCAGCCTGTGTTCTTGAGCCCAGTCCATGGCGCACCCCTTGGTGGGGCTGGCAGGGGCAAGGCGCATGGCTGCTGGTGCTGAGAGAGTCCCTTATGACCGGACCGCGGTAATTCGCGCGTCGGGAAGTGTTCTGTCGTTTGTTCACTGGCAGGGTGGCTTGTGTGGCTAAAATTGAGCGGAGCGGTGCTCCAATAATGATTGGGTAGGGAGAAAGTTCCTGACGAAGATCAATGCCAACATCGGCAACTCTGCGGTATCAAGCTCCATCGAGGAGGTGGGGTAGAGCAGGCTGTTGGAATATACCTTGTTTGTGCATTGCTAATCCCCATTTGCCGTTTCTTCTTCTTCAAAAGCTTTGAGAGTAGTTTTTCTGGTGTGGCCAAGCGTGAGTTGCGAAACTGTTGCCTGCTCCAGCCAGAATGCAATGCTGTTTTGAGCACTCACACCAAATATAGTGGACTGTCAAGTTTTGCCATATGGTGCTTGTCAGCGCTGTTCTGCTTGTGTGTCCGATTCTGTGTGATGGTCAACATGGCGTTGCTATTGAAGGCCAAGGCTTTTGGACAGCCAGGTGCACTCTCGTTTGCACCAGGCGCGAGTACCGTGTTTGTGGTGTTTGGCTGGCAAGCTTTCTGTGGTCCTCCAACCCCCCCCCCACCCTCCTCACCCCCATCCCCTCGCCTTTCCAACAGAGGGAGCATGAAGGTGAAACAGGTGCAGACACGTTTCGGATTGGAATCCTTTGCTGCTGTGCTCTTAGGAAGTGGAGAAGCTGCAGTGGTCGGCGATTTGGGGTGCCGACACACTCATGGACCTCTCAACTGGTGTCAACATCCACGAGACTCGTGAGTGGATTATGAGGAACTCACCTATTCCGGTATGGGGCCTTTTGGATGCCTTGCTTGACTGTGCTTGATTTGGTCATATATTCATCTCTGGCTATGTCATTCCTGTATCTTCAAGAAGATCTGTGGGATATTGAAGTGCCTTGATTGAGCTGAACCCATTCATTTGGCACCTTTGCCCATTGGACTGTCAAACATCTTGTCTGTGAATTGCTCATCGCTGAAGCCATGTGTTTCTCATTTTGGGTATGTTGTGTCATGGCTGATGTGTGAACAAGAAGACAGGTGGTGAGCGGGTTACAAATGCATCAAATTTGCTCTTGCAACACTTTGTGTTGCCCTGCCATTGAGCAAGGTAACACATGAAAATGGTGTGCTTATCATGCTTGTCCCACCTGTGCAGATTGGGACTGTCCCCATCTATCAGACACTGGAGAAGGCAAACGGAGTTGTGGAGGACATCACCTGGGAGCTCTTCCGTGAGACACTTATTGAGCAAGCAGAGCAGGTGATCGTTCGAGTGACAGGGTGCAGTTTCAGGGCCGCAGCTGAGTCATTGTGCAAAGTGGCGTGATTGCATGTCATGGCACATCGATTCCATTTTGACTGTTGTTGAAGAATGACACTGCAGTGCCCTTCAAAACATTAGATGATGTGGCCGTGTTCACATCCACTAGGGGTACTATCCAAGGTGGCTTTGATTCCTGCTTGCTGATAATTTCTGCTCCTGTGATGACAATGTTTCCCTGGGAGAGCAGGTAAATGCCACTGTGGAGCTGGTACACTATGCATGTGGCTGGAACAACGTTGCAGGAGGACATACGGCATTCCCAAGCCCTTCATGGTTTTGACTCTGTGTGAGCTTTCGCTTTGGTTGTGAAAAGTTATCAGTTTGCCGCATATTGACAATGCGCTTGTCCAGAGTAAGGCTATGGGTTGTATTCTTCAGGGTGTGGACTACTGGACCATCCATGCTGGTGTGCGCCTGCAATTCATACACCTTACTGCCAATCGCATCACTGGGATTGTTAGCCGTGGTGGGTCGATCCATGCCAAGCTTGCCTCCTTGAGCACACAGAGAACTTTGCGTACGAGCACTGGGATGACATCCTGGACATCTGCCGTCAATATGATATATCATTGTCCATCGGGGACGGGCTCAGGCCAGGCTGCATCGCTGACGCGAATGACGAAGCCCAGTTTGCTGAACTCAAGACACAAGGGGAGCTGACGCGAAGGGCATGGGAGAAGGATGTGCAGGTGTGAGGAGGCTGTTCATGCTGCTCTCCGCACTGTCCACTAAGTGATAGGCTGTTGTACCATGCTTATCTTCAACCTGTTTCCTTCCAACACAAGAGGAGCCCAGTATTGGTGCCTGTTGCATGCTTCTCATTCTTTCTGAAAACTTTGCATCATCTTGTGCAGAATGGCACAGCATGATAAATTCCTTTGTTCAGGTAGTGGCATCGAATGCACTGCTATTTCCTTTGTTGGCCACAAAGTTGTAAGGTGCGTGTGTATGTGGCCGGTCGGGTGTGCGATCGACTGGGATGTGGATCAGTATGGGAATCATCTACAGTGGCCTGCACCAGCCATGCTGGAGGACACTCAAAATGATCTTCCAGTGGTCGACTGGGTTTTTGTTTCCACTGTTAAACGGAATTCTTGTGGTATCGTCTCTGCCAAGAGCTGTGTCCTCATTCCTTGCACGATGGATATCCAACTGGGTCCATGATCTTGGATCTTGATCGTGAATTAAGCCCATCGTTGTCTGCCCAAATTCAAATGACGTCATCAACAGGGCAAGCTGCCCGCGGTGCACCAACAAGTGAGTGCACTTCTATGCGTGCACGGAAATCGAACGAAAACTTGTGTCTGCTGCTGCAGTGCCACGACCTCCTCTCGCAGGTGTCGGGGATTTGTTCTCTTCCTCACAAATGTGGTCAATGGAGTCAAGAAGTGAGTGACTGGGACTGATGTGGCAGGTGATGAACGAGGGCCCAGGTCATGTCCCCCTACACAAGCTTCCAGAGAACATGCAGAAGCAACTAGAATGGTGCAACGAGGCGCCGTTCTACACCTTGGGTCCCCTGGCCACGGACATCGCCCCTGCTTATGACCACATCACCTCAGCCATCGGAGCCGCCACGATTGGCAGCCTGGGCACAGCACTGCTGTGCTACGTGACCCCCAAGGAGCACCTGGGCTTGCCCGACAGGGATGACGTGAAGCAGGGCGTGATCGCATACAAGATCGCTGCGCACGCCGCCGACTTGGCCAAGGGGCATCCACATGCCCAGGATTGGGATGACTGCCTGTCCAAGGCAAGATTCGAATTCCGCTGGTAAGGAGGCGGAGCGGTGGGGCCTGCCATGAGCACTTCTTGTTTTGCAGTGCCAAGCTTTTGCACACAACTGAAGGAGGCTTCGGAATGTTGCATGACCATGGGACTTGCTGTGTCTGTGAGGGCACTGGCAGTGGTTGGCAAGTGAGCAGCTGGGATCAGTAGGTAAGTGCGATTGTTCAACACCTACATAGTTCAATTGTTGTTCAGGTTGAACGGGGCTGTGCTGTGCAGGTACGACCAGTTCAATCTGTCACTCGATCCAGTCACAGCTCGCTTGTACCATGACTCGACGCTGCCCCAGGAGCCTGCAAAGACGGCCCACTTCTGCTCGATGTGTGGTCCCAAGTTCTGCTCAATGAATATCAGCCAGGAGCTGAGGGAGTACGCAAAGACCCACGAGGTCGATGAGGAGGAGGCAGCAAAGAAGGGGATGCGGGAGATGTCCGACGAGTTCAAGAGGCGGGGCAGTGAGGTCTACCTTGAGGGCCAATAGTTTGGATGTGGCCCGTTCTGGGCTCTGCTCCAAGCTTGCAGGCTGCCTGAGGCGTACTACATCGCAGCCATGCACTTGGTGCTACGATTGCAACACTCCAGAAACTTCTGGAAAGGAAGCGGGTTCGATGTATTCTAGGTGCTCATGACGGCACAAAGTTTCTCCTTGTGCTGTGCTGGTCCCAGGGTAGTAGCACTTTGAGGGCCTGGACAGGGAGAGAGGACTGAATTTGGTGAAAGGCCAATCGCCCTGTGGCAGCTGATGCGACATGTAATTGAATGCAGGACGACCGATCGGGTGTACCAGGTTGCACACCTTCCAGATAACAGACAGCCACCCCACTGTGTCAAAACTGCTCCAAAGCCTGGCATCTCTGGCCCCTAACTGTGGCACATGAGTACACTGGTTGGGGTTGCACAGTGAACAGATCTCTAAGCTCACTGCCAATCCAAAGCATGCACTCACAGTGAGAATGCATTCATTCAGACTGCCTGTGCCATGGCCCAGCTGTTCTTGTGCATGTGCTCCTGAACTCCAAGCCATCATTTTGCTTCTACACATTAAAGCTTGAAACACGTAACATACAAATAGCTTGTGTGGATTGGGGATGCACTCCCCACCACCAAAACCTCCTCGCCTCCATTGCCCGACGTCCAAGGATTTGAATCACGCTTCGCCGTCCTGCCGCCACCCCTTCCAACAAGCGCAGCCCAAAAACCTTCCCAGGCAGGGCCTACGCCATCGAAACAGCCCTTAGCACCCTTTCCCTGGCAACCGGACGAGAGGGGACGACTCAAAAGCCCAACTCCTCCCCCTTTACCCTCCCCCAGCCCTCAAAGCTGTAAATCCTCCGCACATTCTCTCGAGAATACAGCGAAATGAAACGCAAGGGATTGGTCTTCCCGTTGCCGCCATGTCAGGCGGACCGGGTGCGGATCAGCAGATGAGCCTGCCGTTGAGGAACAGGCATCGTGGCTCCCCGTCCGCACTGTCGTCGCCGCCGTCCACCTCCTCCGGTTCCCCCCCGTCGGAGGGAGGTGCCGCTGGGACGTCCAGGCAGTCCCCCACGAACTTCCCGTCCACGTATTTGCATTCCTCCCCCGAGTCCTCGTCCTCCTCCCCGCACTGGATTTCCGTCAGGATGTCCAAGATGGCCTTCTCCACCAGGTCGGCCACCTCCTCGGGCGACGGCAGCGCCAGGGGCACGATGCACGGCGTTGTCTGTTCCGGCGGGCAACCCGGTTGCGTTTGCTCCATGATCACTTCCATCACGTCGTCGCCCAGCGCGTCCGCGCGCGCCTCCGCGATCTTCATCTGGTCCGTCGTTGCGTTCGTCGCGTTGTTCAGCGCAGATTTCACCTCCTCGGCCACCACCATGGACGTGATGTTGGCGGCCGCCTCGGCGTCCGAAGTGCACTCCAGCGCGGCGTTGCTGGTGCCGGAGATGGCCACCGCCAGCGCGATTGACAGCGCCTCCGTGTCCGTGGAGTTCAGCGGCGTGCTGTCGTTGCACTTGATCGACTGCGGGGCACGGCATGGACGGTGAGCGTCAGTGAAGCCGAGGCACACGTTGCAATCCCGATTGCACGTCCGGGGCGGGCGGCGCGTTGCAAAACATGAGCGCGGCAGGGGAGCATCGACAGCAGAGAAGGCGAGGAGGCGTGGGCCTGGGGGTCGGTTATGGCGCAGCCGGGCCCGAAGGAGAGAGAAGCGGATGGGAAAGATTGCACGCGCCAAGACGGCCCACTTTCAAACGACGCCGGAGGGGGGATCGCCACGCCGCCCACCCAGCGCCAACGGTGCTCGGAAACTCCTCCCAATCGGAAAGAAGCACGCCGGGGAGCGGGTGGGGTGGGTGGGTGTGAGGGGGCGGTGTGCCCCAGGGCCCCACGATTTTGCCAGCAGGGGTTCATGGGCGACTTCGCGCACGAGGGGGGCGCGTGCCGCGGGCGGCCCACCTCGGAGAAGGTCATCGCCACGGCGTTGGACACGGCGTCGGCGATGCTGGAGTCGGGGTCCGCCATGGCCATGGCCACCGCTGCGCAGTCCTCCATGGACTCGTCGGGATTCTCCTGGCAGGCGGCCAGGGAGGCGCCCAGCAGCAGGAGCGCCGCCAGGGGCAGCAGGCGGCGGTGGGGGGCGGGGCGGCCCATGGGCACCGCTGTGCTTGGAGGCTGTGGGTGCGCAGAGTCCAGGAGGCTGCCGACCAGCAGGCGGGGTGGCCGATTGCAGGGCGGGTGTGATGCCGGGCGCTGAGACAGCACGGGGGAGGGGGGGCACGGCGCTGGGAGGCGCACCGGGCATTTTATGCAGGGCGAATTTCGGCTTGATGGGCCGCAGTTCCGGGCCTGTGCGCCGGTGTGATCAACGCCGAAGTACTCCAGCCGCGCACGTCTCTCAACCTGGGTTGTGTCCACCCGAAGGGGAAGTTGCGCCTCGTGGAGCGTCCCCTTCCCTTTTCTTTGCTGTCTGCTCTCTGGCGGTGACGTCGGCGGTGCGCACGGACGAGCGGCGGGGTCCGAATTTCTGCACACGCGTCTCACCGATCGATTCGATAATAATGTACTCTTGTGCGTGGCGTGGTGTTGCGATTCACTGTGCAGCTTGCCTTGTATTATTGCTTGTTCGCTGTAATGTGTGTGGGCGCAAACATGCACACACAGGGATGACAAAATGTACACGGACTTCTCAGCTCGCACAAGTGAGATTATTTATTTAAATAAATAACAAGTGTTGTTAGGTTTTTTATACGCTGTCATTTGTATCCTGTTTTTCCAGTGTGCGTGAGCTTTGCGGTTCCCTTGGTCCAAAATGGGGTGGGGGGGTGGGGGGTGGGGGGGCGGCTCTTTGGCTGTGCCAGACGAGGCCGGCGTGTCGATCAGGGGACGGACTCTTGTCATTAGTTTGTACTTGTGAAGTTACCCCTGATCCATCGCCGTGTGTCCTCGCTCACCATGTCCTCAACACAGACAAACGGGTCCATATATGCTTGACGGCTTGGGCTCAACGAACCGAGTGAATCTATGGTCACGTATCGAGCAGAAATCTGATTCGAACTTCGAATGCTCCGAATGTCGAAATGCTTCGAATTTCGAAGCATTTCGAAATTTGCAAGGAAGTCTTTCGTTAGGGGCTCCCGTGACGTCAACTGTCCTCAACAACTGCACAGAAAAGGAAAGTGCAAAAAGGGCAGCCAGCGGCACACCAGTGTTTTGGGTTCCCAGGCCGGCTCAGCTTAGCGCCACACCCCGCATGCCCCGCTCCCCTTCAAAGCCACACTACATGGCGCCTACTGCATCGGTGGTCCTGAATTTTTGGCAAACATCTGAGTGTGTGTCTCCTGGAGTTGTTCCTAACGTGGCACAATTCCCCAGTTGGTATCCAGAACGCAATGCTCCCAAGTGCTGCTCAGCCCTCCTCTCCTAATCCCATCAAGATAAGCGAGGGCATTCACAGGGAACAATCAGACAAAAAATGGACGCGCACACAACAGGTAGGGGTAGTTACGGTGCAGAGGTACTGGCCAAACATGGGAACACGTCTTAGCGCATGTAGCAGGCGAGCCTTCCTGATTGTGTTAATGGGTATTGGGGTGGCCAGGCCCATGCGGTAGCTGTCGGTGCAAGCAGTGGGGGAGATGGAGTGTGTAGGGTTTTAGGATTGGCGTGGTCCTGCCAGGTCAGGAGGTGACTCAGGACCTTGGAAGGGGTTGGATGAGGGCTCAATGTATTGGAGGGATTTCGAATTTGCTAATGGCTAGAGAATCCAGGGGAAAGTCTGGGGAACGGGGACACGAATGGCGTTAGCCATGGGCGCAGATGCGGTGCACCGATCTCCACGTGGAGAAGGAGGGAATTGTGTTTGGACCGCTCCTTATTTCCACAACCTTCATAATGTTGCAGATGAGCTCCGCTTCGAGCCCGTGATGTGTTCGTGGCGGGAAGGCCAAACGCAACGGTCTGCACTAGACAAACGGTTGTGGTGACATGACTACGTATCCGCACGGATCCAATGTTATTCAACATTGATGACGTATATGATATTGAACATATACAAGATTGAAGATATATCTTCATGTGGGGGGTCCCACCCCCCGCCAGTCACGTTAAATCTCCCAAACTGCCACAGCACAACAGCCCAGAATTTTCCGAAATTTCGGTACCGTTGCCGAAGCATTCTGGTTGTTTCGCCGGTCACTCTCCACTACTTCAGCTTTGTTACTTTTTCCTTCAACATTGTTCCATTTTTCAATTGATGCAATGCAGTCTGCATTTTTGTTGGGTATTACAATTCACGTACATCCACATGAAGGAAATGTCGCTTTCCAGAAAGCAGTGAGGCTCGCTTTAAATGCAGCTGTACTGGTGGCACACTCGGGCAACCCCAGCAGTGACAGCATCGCGAGTGAGCTGTGCGAGTGTCTGATACCCAAAGTACAGTGGCGCGCGGAACACTGGTCATTTGCGGCAAGTCGAACAGTGCACTGTGGTTGTTGGCAGCCCGCATTCATGTTGTAAACATGCTTGCTGTGATGACGATTTTGGTATGAGGCCGTGCGTGGAAGAGGCTGGGCATTGCGGTGCTGTCTTGAGACATTGCGAAGCAGTCACCTGGACTTTCCTTGATAGACCAGGTCGCATGGAGAGGGATGGACTGCACTTATATCGTGGATCGTGTGCGCACAACGCCCGCGGGGGATGGTGGTCTCTCAATATTGACAGCCCTACTTCAATGTTGCTGACGCAACCCCGATTTCACCAAATTTTGCTGTTTAAAGCAGGTTCGGAAACTGCTCGAAGCCTGCTTTCTGTGCAGATTCTTTGCACCAGTGATTTCAGTGGGCGTCGTCGCGGAGAATGACATTACGGCGGAGGGCTTGGCATCTTCTGATGGGTGACTTTCCATGCTCTGATAATAGTAACCAATGAGGTTTGGGGCTGCGCCCACTGCTCAAAGGCTTGCTGGCGGGCCCTGCGGGAAGCACAGCTGGCGAGCACATGTCGTCTTGCGCGCCGCTGGGCCTGGGGACAAAGACTGGCAGCTGCCTGTGGCTCGCACGGTGGCGCTTGAAAATGAGGTGCCATTCTCTCAAACGTGAAACTTGCACATTATCAGCGGTGGAAGAAGCCGATCGGAAATATTTGGTAAACAAGCCAGGGTGACGGAGGCTGCAGCTTGCAGACTGGCAACTCGCCCGGTCGCCATCAGCTTCTGTGGCCTGACGTCACCACAATCACCAAACCGCAACTTTGGGACACTTCGCACGGTGATGACCAATCCCGCCCTCGTGTCAACAGCCAACTGCGCATGAAGGCGACACAAGGTTGTGCAGACACACGAGTGGGAAAACAAGGCACAAGCCAGTGTGTCATGAATAGGAGGGATGAAAAATGGCAGTGCTGCGATGCTGCACGCAGCAGCTCCCGCACCTGCAAGCCAGCGTCCCTGGCTGACGCGGCACGGACATTCTGGCAGCACATCAAAGAATCCCAAAACAGCGCAGAGGTCCTACCTATGTGTGGCTGACGCCCCTCAATCCACTTTCACACAAATTGCGACATTGGAGACTGAAGATGTTCCAAGCAGCAGATCTTGTCTATCAAGTGCCCTAAACAGCATACACTGACCAGTGAGAAAAAATAATGAGCTCCACACAGCATCCAATACACCACTGTACCAAATCAGCCCACTCTGCATGCAGCCTTCAGACAGTTAACTTGTCACACCACAGCGCTGCACACAAAGGCTTGGGTCCCGTCACAGTTGCACAGCCACCTCCTCATTGGGCACCACCCCGGGCTCCTTTGCTGCCCTGGCCAGCAGCCCCATTCCTTCAGATGACAAACGATTCCAGGCATCAAGCGCAGAGCGATCTCCTATTTGCATCCCCTCGCCCTCGCCACCGGGCTTTGTTTGGGACGTGGGCGGAGGAGGTGGTGGGGGCAGGGGTGGCGGGGAGGCTGGGGGTGGCGGCAATGGAGGCTGAGACACCAGCGTACTGGCCGCCTCCTGGGCATCACGCCCTTGGGGGAAAGGCGCAACGCCCAGGCTCGCTGCAGCTGGCACCCCACCGGACTGCCCAAGCGACATATCCACACTGCCGCCATCGTCCAGCTCGCCAAGGCTGGCAGGAAGCTGTGGCGGTGGGCCCACCCCTCCCAGCCCAATGTTGTCGTCAGCAGAACCCTCCCGTGTGCCAGCACCCTGCACCTCCATTCTGTTGCTCTCTGGTCTGCTCATCGCTGCAGCCAGGCCCCTGGCCTTCTCGATCAGCACATCAACGTCCCTCCGCACTGACAGACCTTGCGATCCAGCACTGGCATCCGCACCCTGAAGGCCATGAGAAGGAATGCCGCGTTCATGCGGCTGTGGTCCACACCTTGACTCAGCGCACTGCTGACCATCGTTTGCATCTTTGCCTCGATTGCTGTCACTCACGTTTGGCCCCTGGGTCCCAACGTGCGGATCCGTTCCTTGGTCGCAGGAAGGGGGCCCCCACCTCGATGAGCGCAGTCTCTTCGAAGCAGTGTCCACATCGCCCAGATTGCTGGCCTCCTCGCTCCTCTTCCTCACCACCCCGCCAGAAGAGCTGACCGCAGCCTCCCTAGCGGCAGGCAGGGCAGGTGGCGCTGCCTCCGTGGCCTGCCCGGCTGGCGCCGGCCCAAGGCCGGGAGGCAGCGTGTCATGCAACATGGGCGGGGGCAACAGGGGAGGTGGCGGGGGAACACTGTATGGTGCTGTGGACCCAACTTGGGAGGGCACCGGTGGGGGAGGGCTTGGAGGGGGAGGGGGTTGCGCGACAGGGTACAGCAAAGGAGGGCCAGGCAGGGGCAGGGGGTGGGATGGCGGGAGCGGGGTAGGATTCAACAGGTGGGGGGGCATTGAGGGAGGGGCGGGCACTGGGGGTGGCACGGCTGGTATCGTCCCAAGGGAGGGGAGGTGGGGAGGGAGCGAGCCGTGAATGGGGGGCGGGAGACCTTGGGGGGGGGGAACTGAGTACAAGGGAAAAGGGGGTGGGAGGGCAGGAGCAGATGGGTGCGGCAGTCCTGGCGCAAACTGGTTGTACCCGTAGGTGTGCTCGGAGCCATAGGCCATCGCTAGAGGGCCGGGGAGGACGCTGGGGACGATGGGTGGGCAAGGTGGCACGGTGACTGGTGCGGCATTCGCACTTGGGAGGGGTGGGTGGACAGGGGCAGGAGGGAGCGCCGGGGCGGGCTGTGGGACTGGCATTGGCGGCGGGACAGGAACTGGCGGCATTGAGGGGGGGAGGGCGCTGGGAGGTCCAGATGCAACGTCCCTGTACGGGTCATACAACTCAGCACCATCGACTGCTGGTGCTGCAGTGGACTCGACAACTGCTGAGGAGCCAGGAGAGGCTTGCTGTGCCTCTTCGGGAGGAGGCACCACAGGCGCCTTTGACTTTGGAGTGGGACCATTGCCATGCACCATGGCCTTGTTCCTGGCGGATCTCCTGACGCCCTCAGAAACTCCCTCGACTGGAGCACTGCACATCTCTGGGAGCACCTTGCCCAGAGAATCCAGGCTCTCCTTCGCAAACACTCTCTCGCGCCTCCATGCGCCCACAACCCTTTGGATCCTTGCCTGCAAATAAACAGCCCCAGTGTCAGCTCGTCTGTTCACCCTGTTCGCCAACAAAATGGTACCATCCACTGCGTGTTGCGTTCATCGACAACTTGAAGATGCACAAAACGACAGTGCAGTGTCAACGAAGGTTCATCATTGCAATGGCCACAAGGGCGGAGCGCTGTGCATTGGTAATCCATGCCCATTCACAGGGACTGAAGCAGGCATCGTCAGAAGGGACTCCCATTCATAAGCTGCGCAGATCTGATGCTTACGTTGGTTTATTTTTTACCCAGGATCAGCCCTCCCACAGACAAACATGCAACACAAGTCAGCTCATAACCATCGGTCTGCGAAACCACCACAGCCCCAGCAATGTGCAAGACCATCGGATCGTCACCTACCGGCCGCGATCCGTGCGCCAACAAGACGCCGCAACAAGCTCACTCAACCACGCTTTGCCGCTCACCCAATGTTCGGAGGGGACTTCCCGCAAGAGCTTCCCTATGGCCACCAGCCTTCCCTCGAGTCTCTTCACTGCCGGGGAAAAAGGAAAAGAGCGCGTCAGGCCCGAGTCGCCGGAGAGAGGGGATCCCCAGCAAAACCGCACCGCCCCTGCAGACCCCCACCACCGTATTTGTCCTTCTGCCCGTGCTTCCTGGTGGAGCGCCTCACGATGTGGGACAGCACGTGCAGCACGTTCACGCGCTGCTTATCCTTGCCCTTCCTCATCTGACGCTCCAGCAGCGCCGCCACGTGCTTATAGCACTGGGCCAACGCACACAACCCGAATCACGTCATTCCAGATTGAACCCCGCGGCCTGCCAAACAACCCTTTCCCTCCCTCTCCCCACCACAGCAACGCCTCCCTCCAATTCGGAATTTGATAACAATCCCACCACGACGCCAGGGCCGTCTCGCAGTATCCAGAAATCCAGAAAAAGCGCCGGTTCGCGCCCCTTTTGAATGCTCAGACGCCGGCCAGCCTCGCTTCGCCGATCACGCTGCGACGCGCGGCGCCCAGGTCGCCGTGATCCGGCCGTCCGACGGACGCCGAGGCCGCGCCCGGGGCCGCCCGCGCCCCACCTCGAATTCATCCGCCACCGCGATGCTGGCTAGCCTGTCCAGGCCGTCCTTGCTCAGCTTGCGCGAGTTGCGCTCCAGCAGGTCCAGGAAGCTGGCCTCGCCCGCCCAGCCCATGCTCGGCGGTGGCCGGCCGCGGCTTACGGCGTCGCGGCGCCACCCCTCTCCGGGGGCTCTCGGGTGGAGACACGAAACGGGGGACCAGCGGTGTGGGGGGTTGTGGGGTGGGGGTGGTAGTCCGACTTGAGAGGGTGCCAAGCGGCCCGCAGAAACCCCAGAGCGACAAGGTCAACCGGCGCCTGGCGTGGCGATGCGCGACCAGGGCCCCAACACAGGAAAATACGGATACGGATACGGATACGGATACGGATACGGATACGGATACGGGTACGAATACGGGTACGAATACGGATATCAAGATACGGATACGGATACGGATACGGATACGGGTATGGATACGGATACGGATACGGATATGGTACATGGCTATGGATACGGAGATACGGATACATGGAGACGACCGTGTGCGGTCTGGTGTGTCTGGATACGGATGCGGGTGCGGGTGTGCTCTCCATGTATTGACAGGGTTGCAGATA